TATANATATATTATTATTTATTATATATATATATATATATATATATATATATATATATATAATTCACCAAAAAGCTACTGAAATACAAATACTTTGAAAGTTGGTAAAGATTTGGGGATTGCAAATAGCTATATAGTGTGGAGATGATTTATATTTGGTTTACCAAAATAGTACACTATATAGCATTACAATAAGTCAATAACAAATAGAAAATGAATGGACTACTAAAGATTAAATAATCATGTATATATCCTTACTCGCAGATACTAATCGTTTCCTTTCTTTCATAATAAATAGGTAATATCTCGGATAATGTATTGCTTGGATCTATACTGTAGTGGGAACTCTATATATGTTGCTGGGATCTATAATGTAGTTTTTACTACTGTTTACTTTCTATATCTGAGTAATTAACGGTTGTTATGATATTCTTATTGTTTTTTTTAAAAAAAATAAGGCATAACAATGTGGGGTGTTCAAGCAAAAATGATGGTTCAATTAAATTTAAAAATAAGGCATAACAATGTGGGGTTCAAGCAAAAATGATGATTCAATTTAATTTAATTCAAAAGAATTTAGGGAAAGAAATTCGGTCACTCATCACCTAATTTTAGGATATCAGAAAATCAGTAATTAACAAAAATAGTCTACAAAGTCATTAGATTAAAGTTAAGGATTCAAATAATGTCCAAGGAAATGTATTAGTACCTTTCAAAATTCAAATTGTGGATTTCGGCTCAACTCATTTTTTGAAATTGAGGAGGAGATATAAATAATGTACAAATATTTAAAGCAGAAAATATAATAAAGTCAATCAATAATATGATGAACGACTTAGTGTTTGCCTATCATCAAATATATACATAACAATGAATCAAGAAAATATAATTGTGTATCCGCAAAAACACTTATTAAAAGTATTACTAATAGATAAATATCATCAAAACTAAATGAAAGAAATAATAACTCAAAAATAAAATCAATCTTATATACATGAGAGGTCTTAGGAAATCGATGAAAAATTTCTGTCACAATCATTTTTAACTTGTAATAAATATAAACTTAAATTAAAATTTCATATATTTAAAATAAAGAGGACTCAAAAGTCGATAAAAAAAATTCATTGGATATAATTATATGCATAACAATAATCAGAACTAATAACAAAAAATTTATAAAAAAATACAAGACTATATATATTAAGAAAGTTCTATAGTGACATCATCATAATCATCTATCTATCTCTCGATATATACACAGAAAAAAATTATTCATATTCAATATCCGCATTAGAATCTGATTAGATTTGAATTTGCATCAAAAATTAAAGTCTTAGATAGAGTGTAAAGTGCTCTTACTAATATCAAAATAATCACCGCACGTCCGCACCACATGTATCACAAAATCAAAAATATTTTTTTATTTATTTAACATTCGATAATCATATTGAAGCTTGACTAAATTCAAATTTGAATGAAAAATTAAATCTCAGGTAGATGTAAAGTGCTCTTTTAACAAAAAACGACTTGGTTACTAAAAGATACTTAACATAAGAACGTTAATATAACATATTTAGTTAAAATAACAACACTTTAAAATATTTGTTCAAAACATCATAATGATAATATTTTTAAAAATATTTTGTATTTACATTTATTATTTTTGTTTTTTTAATTAATTAAAAGATTCCATAATTGGACCAAACTCTAACCAATAACAAATTTAAATAAAAAACAAATACAATATTATCTCCTCATTCACCCCCTTTTTAAGTCATTCTCTTAAAAAAAAATTCACCTTCAAGTTTCTAGATTTTCTTTATTCTTCAAACAAAAGTTATTCAAAATTTGATTCTTCAACAAAATATATGCATTAATTCAAAGATTTTCTTGGTTTATAAACAATCAAGTATACATTATTTCATCAAATTTCGAATCTGGTTAAGGTAATTTCGATTAAATTTTTAGATTTATTTTGATTTATTTTTAATGTCACCATTTATATTACACATTGTTCATGTTACGAATTTTTCGTCATCATTCTCGATTTTATGCAAGTTACTTTACATTTTCAGTTAACTTTTTTAGAGATTTTTCTCAAAAAATGTAGGTTTTGCTATAAAAATGGTTCAAGAGAGGAGATTTATGTTTCTTCATGATTCTATCTGTATTCAAGTTCAAGATAGCAATGGCATAATATACACACTATTAATAAATAATGAAAAAATGTAGAAGATTCCGAAAAACATGATGAAGACCAAGGTAGAAGAACAATTTCCTGTTAGTTTGTTTTTATTTATAATTTCTTTTAGAATTTTATATTAGTTCTCAATTTGTATTCAAATCATTATTACGTATGCTTTTAATATTTGCATTCATTCAAAATCTCATGTTGCATAGGCCATGAATCTTGTATTTGTTCTTAATTTGTATTCACCATAAATGTATGCTAACTAGTTGTGTATTATGTTTATAGGAAGAACATTTTTCTATTAGTTTGTTTTGCTTTTATAGCTCTTTTTTCTTCAAAAATTTATATCATTTCTCAATTCGTATTCAAACCACTATGTATGCTTAAATATCACGTTGCATAGTTTATGAATCTTGTATTTGTTCCTATTCTACATTCATTCAAAGGTATACCAACTAGTTGTATATTTTATTTAAGAATGATTATAACAAATATTCATTTAATGCTTTTTCAATTTTATTTTCACTTTTCAATCATATTATTTGCGTATTTCATATATCATTATACAAAATACAATATAAAAACTAGAATGAATACAAATTCAAATAATATACCTATTGGACTGTATACGACTTAGGAAAGGAAACATAATTTGAAGAGAAAAATAAATACACAACGAAAAAAATATATGAATACAAATATGTTTATATTAAATAACTACAGATTCATTTGACATACATATTGAAATGAGTACGAACTAAAAATAAATACAAGTTTCATTATACAAAATAAAACATGAAAACTAGAATGAATACAAATACAAATGATATACATATTGGAATGAATACGATTTAAGAAATGATACAAAATTCTAATAAAAAAATAAATACATTGTTATATCAAATAACATATATCTGATACGATTAAGAAAGGATTCAAAATTATGATATATAAAATAAATACACTGTTTTGTCAAATAACATATATTTGATACGATTTAAGTAAGGACACAAAATAATGGTAAATAAAATAAATATACTATGAGAAAAGTATGCCTCATAAAATATAAAATTATAGGTGTTCAAATCTGTAAATTTTTAAAAACATATTTAATAGATAATACTCTAAGGTAATATCATAAAATTTCATAACAATAACTAATTTTGAAAGACACAGACAAATAATGACCTTCAGGAAGAAGGAAGAGACCACATTTTCAGCAACTTATCTAATTTGAACCATCCCCTAGATTCTCTAGTTTGTCATTTCTTAATTATACTATGTTATGTTAAATAAAGAAAAAAAATACAGAAATCAACCCATAACAAATTAAAATATTGTGATTTTTAATAAATATTGAAAGTATTACTAAGGATCCTATTAAATGTTAAAATATTGTT